CCCGCCGTAAGACATGAAACACCATGCACCAGCACCTCTACACTCTCGTAAAGTCGTTGTGCTTGACATCGGGCAAGGTGCGTTCGTCGCGTCTCGTCAGTCATCGCGCCATGTTGAGTGCCTTGTAGCCGGATCTAGTACAGGGCCTGGGACGAGCCAGTATGCCGCTAGCCAGAACACTCTGGTTGATTCTCAGGCCTCTTCGCACTCTGCGCTTCTACTAGCGTCAACACTTGTTGCTCAGCCAGCTACGTGTCCGAAGACTTACCAACAGTTCTTCTCTCAGTTAGGTCTGTCCGAATCGCTTCTATTTGACCAACCGATTCTTACGCTCCTTTGCAGGAAAACCACTACGTTTCATCGGGTGGGCCGTATCGACTTCAACTCGCCCTTCGGACGATGACTCCTTCAAGCCCGTGTCTTACATTCCGCCCCGATCTGTCGTTGACGCCATCACCGTGTCCGAGCCCCTGCCTTCTGTGGATGACAGAGGTACGCAGACCGCGCTTTTCCTGCTCTGCGATACGCTGATGATCCCTCCTCTATTCCTTCCCTCTGCGGTGCCTGCGCTCCGCCCGCCCTCCTTTCTGCCTCTATGGCTACCCTTGTTGAACCCCGCCACACGGTCATGACTTCCCGGCTCTGCCGCGCTGTTGTCCTACGCTCGTGCCGGCGGAACGCACCCTTGTGTAATTGTTGAAAATCACCGAAATGAATTGTCTTTTGTGGAAAAGAGGAAGTCCATGTCGCTGTTCAGTCGTGGGATGGGACGCGAGATGTGGATACCCAGTACACCGTGTCCATTAGAGTGTTTTCGAGCCGGGTTGTGCGACGGCTCTACTTTCTCCATCACGAGCGCCATTTTTACCCGAGCAGCGCCATCAGTTGCGCAAACATGCGGAAGGTACGGCGGGCTGGGCGTCGCGGCCGTCACGTCCGTTTAGATCGTGACAAGTCGCGTTCGCTGTTCCGCGGCGCGAGGCGCGCCTCGCGTCTGCCTCGCCTCTCGCCCTCATCTTCGTTCTCTTGCGCCCGGCGCGTATACCAACCATGTCCACTCACTCGCAACCATGGGACGATTATCAGAACCTTCAGATGCCTCCGTCCACCCAGGAGCTCTCCCGCACCTCCCGCTTCGAGCAGAACATGCAGTTCGAGCCCGCCCCGCTCTCGCCCGACCTTCCCCGAGCCACCTTGCACGATGTCTCGTCATATGCACCGTCGTCGGCACCCGCTCGTCGTATGTATGCTTTTATAAAATGCTCCGGCTCGCTTTCTCACCTTTTGGTAGAAGGTCCAAGCAACCCGACCCAATGGGATGCTCTCGTGAAGTACTACCCCGAGATGTTCGCACGTGATATCCGTCCAATGAACGCGTCTGTCCCGCCGGTACGGGAGCAGCCCCAGGTTCAGCCTCGCTATCAAGGTAAGCCTTACCTTTTGTGTTTTCTAGTAATGCTGTTACTGAAGTCGTCCCCATAGTCCCCTCGCAGTCATACCCATCTCAACCACGCTCGTATCCGGAACCTCGGCCCGCCTCCATGCACGCGCGCGCGCCGCCCGTCACATTTGCGGGTCTTCACGGTACGGGTGGTTATCCGCACCCGGATACCCGCGCTCCCAGCTCATGTATGCCGGCGAACAACTTCGGTCGGGCTGTATCGTATGGTCAGCCTGGCGAGCTCCCCGGCACCCCCTTCCAAGCACAGGCGATGCCACCACCCGCCGTTCAGGCTGCTCCGACTGCTCGTGGTGGTGTGGCCCCGCAAGGTCCTCTCGTTGGCTCGCAGACTATGCCAGTTGGTGCGAACTCGGCAAAGTCTACACCGCCAAACCTGCGTGATGGTTCCGAGAGAGCGCAGGTGCACTATCGCGAGATGCAATGAAGCATAACGTCGCGATACCCACCGGGTGCCGTTCGGTATTTTGACCTCAAATCGCACAGCTACCGCGCGGCAGGCCCATGGCTGGGAGGCACCCTCGGGGGCTCTCCGTGATACCATTCGTCGGTTGTCTGGGGCACTCTCAGAGTGCCTCCACGACACCATGTCTGGCGATAGCAGGCGATAGCCAGCAGCAGCATCCGACCGATCAGATCGGGCGCATCGGCGGCCATCTGTCATTTCCTCGGACATTCTTAGAATCTCTCATGTTTTCTGCACATAAACATAGAATTTTCCTTCGCATTCTCTTGTATTCACTCTCGGGCACCAGTGTACGATGAAAGCAATAGTATTGGATTACGATACTCGCCAGTTGAATGGCAGACAGTCATAGGTCGGTTCAGGCAAACAAACACGATACAGGTAAGACACAGGACTAAAACGGTCTAGGGTATATCACCGGAGCCGACGAGCTATGCGAGTACATCGGCCGCGGTGTTGATGTGGACCTCCTCCGCGTTGATCTTGCCATAGAGGGTCTGATCATCCAGGAGAAAGCTGTGCAGGACTCTGACATATGGTGAGGGAAGTACAAGATAAAGCCATGCAAATGGACATACTGCGAAATCTTGACGGGGTCGTTGTTGTTACCCTCGCGGAGTTGCTTGAGGCTGAAGTCGACGTAGGGCCAGAAGTCGAACTGCTCCTTGCCGACCTTGACTGCTTCGACGTAGCAGTAACGCTGTGACGAAATACGTCAGACAGTCATCATGACCACAGCGGAGACTGAGAACGCACGATGAAGGCAAAGCGGCCGAGCATGGCAACGGTTGGGGACTGCAGTGTGCGCTTGCGGCGGCTTGACAGCTGGTTGATGCTGAGGCACATCGTGAAGATGTCGATGCGCTTGCCCTCCGCGGTGGAGACGCTGTTCTCCAGCTGTCAGATGCACCGTTAGCTGCAGTCTGTTGTCGAGCAAGAGCGAGTCTGCTTACAATCTCCTTGACCTTGCCGCGCCCGTCGGTGAGCTTCTTCTCGACCCGGGTCTTGATCGTAGTGGCCTTCATGTTGTCCATATGAAGATAGACGAGGTTGTACTGAGTCTCGTTGCGCAGGCGTTCCTGATACACATGTCAACAGGAATGAAACAACGAAAGTCAAATGGGGTCACCCACGCATGTCGTTTCCTTCGGCGCATTGATGTAATTCGAGAGCGTGGGGTCGAGGATCGTCTCGTAAGCCTCCTCCTGGATGAATGCCTTTACAGGGGAGTGAGCTCAGGAAGAACAGAATCTTTGGTGCAATACGCACCGAAAGGGTGGAGTGAATGGCCCACGTAACAGCCCCGTCACTCTTGGACTTAGCTAGGTCGTTGAGCTTCTGCTCGATCTGGCACATCTTGATGAACGACGTGATCTCACGCTGGTCATCGTCGAGCTATGAATCGTGGTCGTCAGAAGCATGCTGAGTAAAGGGGAGACGACGAAGGTACCTGCGTGAAAGAGACAACGTCGTCGGCCATGTCACGGTTAAGCCGGGCGAGGCCTGCCTGCGTACGAGCCCACTGAGCGTAATCAGTGTGACGAGTGCGCTTCTGGCCCACGGTCACGCCAGAGGCCGTCGTGCCAGAGGCCGTTACGCCCTGGACACCACCCTCGGCAGGAGCACCAAAAGCGGGGGGAACACCAAGAAGCGCCGGGTCAATTGGGATGTTCTCCTGACCATCACCACCAGCGGCGGCGAGCTCATCGTTGGGCCCAGAAGAAGGAGGAACCCAGTGGAGTGGGGTTGTCGACGTAAAGCGAGACTGTGAGGCCATGGGTGATGAACGAGGAGGGGGGGAGAGAGGGTGTGCGGTCGCTGTCGGCGGCACTTCGACGTCTCGACACTTATAACGGGTTGCCAAGCCAAGGAGTCCAGGCCACAGCTACCGACTGGGGTGGCTCTGAGGTAGCGCATGTCGGGTAACCCGCTGCTCAATGCCCCTCGAATTTGATGAGGATATTGAGCCCGGAGCCTGTAAGTGCATTCCTGCACTGTTCAGCCCAGCATACTCCATCCGGTCATAAGAAGAAAGCGTACCGAGTATGCCGTGCCATATCACTGTACTACCAGAGATGAGTATGTTCACGTTGTACAGGAAGTAAGGGCCACTGTACAAAGCAGGTCAGAGCGGAGTTTCGACTTAGCACGTGGAGACGCCGGGTGCTCACCGGCAACAATATGCCTTCACGATTGAGATCTCTGTTCCGTCCCTCACTCTCGGTTATTAGGCGCAATGGTGCGACGTTCAAAGGAGACTGCTGGTAAGAAATGCCGCTTCATATTCAAAAGTGTCAACCGTAGACGAGACAACCAGAACTCTTTGAAGACGATCCCAACGATCCCGAGCGATTGAGATGCATTCCTTGCTCGCGGTTCTCGGAAAAAACACAAAATTCGCTAAAGAAGAACTCGATCTCATCACACAAGAAGAGCCGCGAGCACGCCAGATGCTGCGAGCAATTGGCAAATCAGCTCATGAGCGCTATTCCGGCACGAGACGGGAGGCGATTGGAGGATCCCGTCGCACCGATCGAGGCTCCTGTTGCAGAGGAGACGGCGCAGCTTCAGCCGCCCTCCGCATCGCGCTTCTCGCAGTTGCAGAGCAGCCCGAGCGGGCTATCACAACATCTTGGGCTCCTGTCTGTTCATGAGAATCCGTTCGACAGACTGGTTGAACGAGAGGGCGCACTCTTTAATGATGATGGGGATCAAATATTCTTCACGGCGGGCGATCAGCCGCGCGAGTTTCCTCAAGATACAGCTCTTGCGCGAGCTAATCTGCATCACGAGCTCGAGACAATGCGGCTGTACGATCACACATTGTTCGCAAGGACATCGTCGGATGCAGGTGGGACAGGCTCGCGTGGTGCAGCTCTCGACGATGGTGATGAGACGGGCGAGGACTCGACTCTAAGCAATACAGTGGCAGCTTTACGCGCCATGGGTAGGTTGTATAGTCGTCGGCGTAAGTATCAGCTAATGTGTCTGCAGGACTGGATGGTGGAGAGAGTGAAGCATCGGATGACGAGGACGGCGCGCGTGGGTTCGCCATCAACGCGCGATCTGAAACGGGCACATCCGTCGACTGGCAGCCGTACGGTTCGAAAGTCGTGCGTTCCAATTGTGCTATCCGGTGCATACACCGATTCATTGGGTGCTGCAGATGTTCCTGCTTATCATGGCATGCAGTCAGCCGCGATTGAGATTATCTGACGATCACATCCGCTTGATCTTATCGCTTCTCAAGGATCTCGACGTTTCCGGTGTTCCGTCGTTCAAAGCCTTTCGTGCAAAGCAGGTAAGTATATCAAAGGAACTTGACATTCAGAGCAAGCTGCATGTCTCTTCACTCGACAATCACTTCTACTCCAACGAACCTCATACACTCTTCAAACTTGTACGTCCCTTGTAAAGGTTCTGCCAGACGAGATACTATTGCGATTCTGACATACTGTGCTCCTCAGGATTGGGCCAATCCACTCGTCCGCCCGCACATTCACGTATACCCCAACATCTCCTCCAAAGGTGTTTCGGAAACATTTGAGGCTGAGAAATGGGTGAAGGAAGTTCCGTTCTCGGATCTGTCACCCATGTGGGCCGAGTGGAAGTCTGCGCCACAACGCCACTTCTTCGTGAATGAGCTCGCAAGCTTGAAGACTGGCCACGCAGTCATACCGCAGCGATGGATTACTTGTGATGGAGTTGACCATGTTGATTGTCTTGTTGTGACGGTGGGTTTAGGCGACAAGGTCCGTATACAACCTGAGTGCACGTCTTCAGGGCGGGGATTGACAGTTTGAAAGTTGCATGTTGCCGCCGAGAGCACGATACGGGTGGCTTGCAGTGCACTGCAGTACAACTATCTTGATCTACAGCTACAGCGCGGTGGTGTTCCTTTCGTCTGGGATGGTGGGCTGTCGGTACAATTGTTGAGTATACCAAGACTGCTTACCTCTCTTCGATAGATGCCTCGGCAGACTGGCCAAGTCGAATGCCGAACCCCCTTCGGGTGAAGGCTGATGGACGTCCAATGTTCACCATACGAGCCTGGGTTTGGGGTGATGATGTGTCTGGTAACCGGTCAAAACAGTATAATGCGCATACGAACGTCTACATCGCAAATGCGAGCCTCACATCAGCGAAGCTCAGGCAGGAGTATTTCGTACGCTTCTCCTCAACATCGCAGCATGCCTCTTGTCCGGAGCAGTTTGCAGCAACTGTCGAGGATATGTGAGAACACTGCTTTCATCTAAGCGTAACACACTCATCTCGTCTTGCACAGGCGCTCCGATCTGTGGCATGAGGCATATGACTGCCTTTTACGCACACCCATCTTGTATTGCATTCTCGCTCACGGCCTACCGGCAGACAACCCTCAGCAGGCCGAGAACTCTTCAGTCGTAGGGTCAAAAGGCAACAAAAACTGCCGCTATGACAAGTTGGGTGGGACTGAGGTTCAGCGCGAGTCGACTGAGGGGTATCATGAACATTTCAGTGTACGTGCACGGATACGGGACTGATATGTATGCTCACGGTTGATTCAGCCTGGCGAGCCTCGCACACCTGCAGAAACTATCGCGACGATAAAGGAGATGTACAACCTTGCATTTGACGGAAGTACAACAAAGCTCAAAGAGCTCCAGGCGGAAACCGGAGTGAAGGATCGCATTGCAGAGCACTGGCTGGCTGAGATCAGCACGCTTGTACAGCAGCAGACCAAGCTGCGGATAACTGATAAGCGTATGAAGGACCCACGATTGCACTCGAAGAAGACGTCAAAGGAAGAGCGGGCGGTCATACGAGCGGAGATCAAGGCGGTCATCGCACAGGAGGCTCGCGTGTGGCTATACTCGCAGCCGGCGCATTCGTTCAATGCACTCCCCGCAGACTCTGGTAAAGATGTGGTGCCGTCTACATGTTGAATCGTGACTCTGACGGTGTCTTTAGATCAGCGGCAGGCTATCCGTGCCGGTGATCATTACAACCAGCTGTTGGTTGTTGACGGTGAGATAGACCGTGGAATGCACAGTTTACTCCGGTCTCAAAGGCTCACTCCAGGGCTTAATCCTCATCAAGACTCGCCCATCGAGAAGCTGCATACCATACTTATCGTTTCCGATAAGTATATCTGGTACGAGACGACAAAAGGCTGGAACGTTGCCAAAGACAGCGACTTTGCCATCTGGCTCGCTTCCTCGTCAATTGACGGATTGACTCTTCCTCCCATTCGCGCCGAGTACATGACAAAGTACAAGAATTCGCTGATAGGAAAGCATTTCAAGGTACTTCAGCAACTCGCGATCTTTCATATGACAACAAACCTCTGTTCGGACTCACTGCTTCGGGTATGGCGAGCCACGGGAGAACTCGGAGCGCTGATGTGGTACACTGACATCAAGAACATGGATGAGTACATGGTATGTCTCCCAACGACTGATAACTTACTCTATCTGATTCTATGACAACAGAGCGACCTTCGGCAATGCATTGCGAACCTCCTGGACGCTTGGAGTGAGTATGACCCACGCAAGATCATCACGAAGATGAAGCTGCACACCGTCACGCACTCGCCGGATGATGCCCGGCGCTTTGGGCCCTTCGGGTTGTTCGAGACCGAGGTGTACGAGTGTTGGAATGCCATATTCCGAATGTGCAGTGTCCTCTCAAACCATCTTGCCCCGAGTCGAGACATTGCACAGGACCTCGTAGCGATGGAGTCGTTCAAGCACATTGTCAGTGGCGGGTGGTGGTACAACAAGGACGCGAAAGAGTTTATCCAGGCTGGTCGTCGGATACGCGAGCACATGTTGCGGTCTCCCGATCTACAGCGGCGCCTCGGTTGGTCCGAGAGAACAGCCTTGCCAGCCGGTAAGTGTCGAGCGTGTCGGGTGCATATTCGTCCCTCACGTCGGCATGACAGGTTCGGTCAAGCTTGTATCAAAGAAGGCGCGCATAGCATTGGAAACGGAAATCCTGGTCACGGGTATCAGTGACTGTGACGACAACATAGCGGCAGAGCTATACCAGTTATCCTTATCTTGGTGCCCTTGCAAATACGCGGTCAGTGCGAGTGGCGAGCCGTGCTTCCAAGGGTCGTGGGTTTTCTTCACTGCGATGCCAGCTGAGGTACCGGTCAGTACATCATGTCACACTCTGTGCTATTTGCTCAACCGGTCAATACCAATATCCAGTTGCCCGATGCTGAGGCAGACCACACTATGGAGATTGACGGTAGCGACACCGATCGAGAACCCACGCGCACACTGTGCGGCCGTATAGCCCATGTTGTCGTGCCGTTTGACCAGCAAATCGCGGAGGACGCCATCATCGTTGTCGAGTGCTTTCACCTTGGCAAAGATCGTGATGATCGTCTTGGAATGCCGATTCTTCACCGCTCGCATAGGACTCTGCTTATCAAACCTCACGTGAGTCTCGGAATACGCTGGTGAATGAACTGTAGTTTACCGTACCTTTGACAGAGCATCCTGTTCAAGTTCAATGCCCAACACGATTGCCGTGCTGGAGATTGCACGATTGCGACGCGCATGCAGCGGGTCCAGCAAGAACGTGTCTCGTTCAACCGCAATGTGCGGTTCGTCCAGCACAACAACGATGACCGCTTCTTGCTCAACACGCACACATTACACAATGCATCTGCCCTCCATGAGATCCTCCCGCGCCATCTCACGAAACCGGTTCCATACTTCGACCCCGCGGAGCGCGAAGCACGCCACAGCGAGTTCGCCATGCAACTGCAGGAGACGGGTCCAACAAAACGCGCGGAGACAGCAGCTAAAGCCAAGGCCACGCGTGCTAAAAAAAAGGCTGCCGCCGAGGAGAAGCGCGTACGCGAGGAACATATAGCTGCACGAGAGAGGGAGGCGGAGCGGCGGGCCGAGGCAGGTGAACACGAACATGAAAGCAGCAGCGACGACGACGACGACGATACTCGTTCACTCGCAGGTGATGGGGGTGCCTTGTCGGGCAAGGATGATTCAGATACATCTCACGAGGACACGGACTCGGACTATTGAATTAAATACACATCATGGATTTGCTTGGGTTGAAAATGCTTAGGTAAGTGATGGCACGGGCAAATGGCCTTGAAGGCCATTTGCCCGTGCCATCGCTTACCAAGCAACCGAATTGCTGTGCCCTCGGAACTCTGACGCCACGGAACTCGTCGGCCGGTAAGTTTAGATGGGGTATACATAGCGTGTCTGCAAATGTGGTTATCACATATATGAGCTGGTTTGAGCGCGCTGACGCACTGGGGTGGGGAGCCTGGCTTCGAAGGGTTGGCCGGCGAGCACACAAGCACTCATACGATCATCCGTGGAAGGTATGGGGACCGGGCCTGTCAAGTATCAGCTCTTTTCAAGGCTAGATGCAGCAAGTATATTACATACGACCGTCTGTAGGCAGGGCCCTTCATCTGAGGCGGCAGGAGATGAGGGCGGGGGGAAGGAGCATATCAAGTGTGCGCGCTCTTTTGAGTCGACGCGGTGATCGCCGTTTGGCATTTGCATTCCGTGCTCCCACACAAGAGCAGCGTCTAATCAAATACATCTCTCAACTACGCGCTTTCTGTGCGCACAAGCTCCTGCTGCTCCTTCGGGAAGGCGAAGTCTGGTGTTGCACGCGGCGGGCGGACTAGTGCCACAAAGGCACGCGCGATGACTTCCGCGCACCATCGCTACACGATACCATGCCGCGTTGCATGGCAGATACCCGTGCAGCACCTCTCAGCTGTGGGTTCGCCACGCTATCGGCAGGCAACCGAGTATCTCACGATAGCCGGCGCGCGAGCCCAGAGGTAACCCGCGAGCTAACGCGAGTTAGCTCAAGACCGCGATCGTCGCGGTACTTCGCAGGATTGGTGGTGTACGAACCCGGCGAAGCCTACCTCCGCGTCGTCGTCGCGTCGTCGCTCCAAGAAGGACGAGCAGGAACAGGTGACCGAGTACCTGGGCATGGATGCTCCCATGTGGCGTTCTCTAGTCTTTGCCGCCCTCGACCGTAAATATCCCCTCACTGTCAAGTGGGGTGATAAGGGCCGGATGCAGACTGAGATCCGCAACCATATGCACTCCATCGGTGCAGATCTCTCCAATGCACTCATCGACAAGCGTCTGGAGGTCATCCGCACCTGGCACGAGGTACTTCTTTTTTCGTTGTGGGTCGTCGATATATCTAATCGTTGTATTAAGAATCCGAAATCGCATCCTCAACTGTCGCAGGTGATGGCTCGCCTTCCGAATGACATGGGCGGCGACCGCGACAAACTCTGCACTCTCCACCTGCAGTCTCTCAGTCTCCAAAAGCTGACCGATTCAGAACGTCGGATGAAGATCAAGGTAGCTACTCTGCTTTGTCATCGTTATATATCATTCTGACAGTATATTCTTAGAAAATTGAGCTTCTTCAAGCGCAGGGCGACTGCATTCGCAATGCTGCGGTCTCGAATTTGAAGAAGTCGCATGATCTGGTCGAAGCGACACCTAAGAACATCGCCGAGCTCGATGCTCGTGGTAATCGCGACGACTCGCAGCCTGCCCGCGACGACCTGCCGCCTGCCCGTGATGATTCTCTGCCTGTTCGCGATGATGCGCTGCCTGTGCGTGATGATCCCCTGCCCGCCCCCGATGACCAGCCACCCGCCCCCGATGACCAGCCACCCGCCGGTGTCGACCTGCCACCAGCTCGTAGTGGCTGCTCGAGCCCGCTGCCCGCTCGTGAAGGGAGCTCTCATCAGTCGTCGGCTCACGATGCATCCCTTGATGTATCGCCGGCTCGCGATGACCACCACGTTGTGCCGCCCCCTCGTCCTACCCCATCGGACGAGGTCATCGATCTGGCCAAGAGCAATGATGAGGGCTCCGTGTCGGGGCGCCCTGATGAACCACCAACTTGATTGCATGCTGCTGCTGCCAGTTCTTCGTCGTCCAAATCGGCGAAGAAGGTTCCTCCAGAAGAGCGTGCAAAGGATCGTCGCCTGAAGCGCACTCGCTCGGACTCGGCTACGAAGGCATCATTGTTGCCGAAGAAGTCGAGGAAGAGTGAGGCAGAGATGTTCCTCGAGCATATCCGCAAGGATCAGGAAGAGGCTAGGGCTCGTGCTGACTCTCAATACCATTCAGGCCTCAGTTCGGCGCTAACGTGATTCGGGATGCAGATGCGCCGCAACCATCCTATGCGTGAGGATGATGTTCGTCCCTTCAACGATAACAGCCAACTGACACACAGTCAGGTCTGCCACAGCTCTGTTCTCCGAAACGTACCTCAGCCTCTCGCCGTCAAGGTACGCTCCATACTTGTTTTAAACTGCGATACGCTTGCTCATATGGGTACATAGCTCGATGCCTTCTCTGGAAAGTGTTGCTGGGTCCGACGAAGAAGAGGAATCGGCGGAGTCCTCTGACTCGGGCTATGCTTCGGAGACGGACTCGGACATGCCAGAGTTGGTTGAGATGCCTTAAGGCTGTGACAGGAGTCTGCGATAATCGGCCGTGCAACTCGTATGATGATCTCTCTAAATGATGTTCTTCTCGCTTTATACGATACCCTCTCCGTTGTGAACACTGACCGTGAACGACTACGACTGCCGGTATGAACCTACTTTTGACTAAATTGAGTTGGCTCTCGAACGTCTTACATAGTATATGCGAGTATATTGGGCTTCTAGCATCGCGATGAAGGCAGGTCCTGCGCCTTTGTCCGAATCGGCGCACATGAGGCGTCACGAGACGACACAATCCGTGCACAAGAACACTGATGATACTATGGTCTCGATATCGAGTTGAGCGCTTGCGCGGCCCCCGCTTTGCGCTGAAACGGAGCGCCTTTCGACCCCTGCTTACTGGTAGCGGGTCGTGGTGAGATTCTGCGCCACCAGATCTGGAACGGTCCTTCTATGAGATGGCCATTGGTGAAAACGATGACCCGCGACCTCCGCGGCGGCCCCGCGTGTTCGCAAGCTACATACGGCAACCACATTCAGATGCTACGAAGACCTCGTAGACCACGCGACCGCGGAAACCGTGTGTGAGCTACATCAGTATGCAATACATACTGTATCCCTGAAGAAGATGATCTTTGTTGTTACAGCGAATGGCCAAACAGAAGTTTTACCGCAGCACAGTGCGCCGCCCATTTCCCAAGATCATCAGGCAATAGACTTGCCAATACATCCGGACAGAGTCTAGATTGTATACTCGCTCCACAGCATGTGTATCGGCTCAATGAAAGGCGGCACGGCACTTCCGGGAAGAATGACTGACTATTCAATTGCGAGATGTAGATTCGACCAGGTAAGGTTCAGGTATCGCCTTCCAGAATTCTTCACAACAGCAACAATGGTCTGCATCTTAGATGCCAGGTGATTATATACATCGAGAAAGTACCGTGACGGACCAGATACGATGTCATTACGGGGAACCGCAGACTTCAGACCTCACATGCTCCTATCATGCCAACGATCTGGATATGTCACTTGACTGAGATGACCGAAACACGTTGGGATTCTCGGTGTCCTCGTCCACCGTGACATCGCTAGCGTGCACAGACGCGTAGTGCATTCGCCCATGGCGGCTAGAGCGGAAGGTTAACCCACACCCGGAATGCGCACACGCGAATGCTACGCAATCATCAGACAACTGAAGAGCTACCAGGAGACAAGAACTCACATCGCTTGTAAGGGAGGCCACTGTGAAGCTTCTGGTGCCTCAGCAGATTCCTTCTCAGGACAAATGTAGACCCACATCCCGGATGCGGACATGCATGTTCTTTAGTGAGCATCAGAATGGCACGAGGGGCAGAGACGTGGTACAGCAACACACCTCGATCTCCTTTGAGCCGAAGAGTATGATTTCTGAGTTCATACGGCCGTTCGAACGTTCTATTGCAATGGAAACAGTGCCGGTCATCGCGCACTCGGTTCTTGAGTTGTAGATGATGGTCGCCCGCGCTCTTGTCAACATGGAGAGGCACCTGGCTCTTCAGCAAGGCCGTGTAATCGTGCTTCGGCACAACGAGTGGGATTATTTCAGGAGGAGGCGCAAGCTGGGATATTGGGTGTGTTGGGGCTGACGATACACGGACGGAGCTGTTGGCAAAGTGCGGCCATGCCTGAGCTGGAGGGGCGAGGGCCTCGGGGAACAGTTCTGTTGCGATGTTACATCAGGGATCGAAGTCAAGCGCTACCGGCCACGGACCTTTGAGTATCTCTCGAAGGGGAGGCAGCGGGCTGAGGGTCGACGACACATATGAGGACATGGTGGGCGGAATGATTGTCTTGAATGATTGGATGGAGGAACCCTCCGCATGTGACAGTGGGAGCCGCAAGATGCCAGATTCATACGTCCACATATCCTCTTTTGTCAAGGCTGGTACGTAGAATCAGCGTACATATCAGCGCGGAGCTCAAGTGATATATTTCGCTCGTCATCGTCGACCCGTAAGGTTCAATTCGAAGATGACATCCAACGTGGGCCCAATATCTGAAGCAACCAGTTGTACTATGGGACAGCGACCTAGATTCTGCGAATACTAGGTACCTTTATCAGCGCGGACGGACTCAGCCTTGACGATACTTCGTTGCCAACGTGGATACACATAATCACCGGGCGCGTGTGCTTTTGGCCCTTCGGAATAAGAACCGTTTGCATCGCAACGTTGACAGTGTGTGAGTCTGTGTCTCTAGATGAGTGAATGCCACGGAACAATGCTCGCTTCGAGAGCGCCATCCGAGCTGTGGACACACCAATAGTTGATAGTTGTGGCCATGGACACAACATATATTTAAGTTCTGCTTGGCCTCGAACTATCCTGACTATCTATGCACTCATGCTGACTTTCCATTGCCATATGTAGATATTTGCAGTTTATTTCATTTTCTATAGGTTATTTTGCCAGCAACTCCCGTGCTTTCTTTGGTTCCAATCATCGATATGCATATCTTCTCTCGGGGGTAACCGAAACTCAGTGTGTATTCCGCACTCCATATTCCGGGGCTCCTGTCGATGTAGATCTCACGGCTCCTGTCTTCCCACACCATGCACAAAGACAACCGTCATTTGTGGGAGGTCGTGTTGCTGTTTTGAGATGCATTGCGAGAGTACCGACTTGGACGTGTCCTCAATAATTGAGCCAGGTGCCTCTCAAGCAGTATTGAATTTATCTGTGCCGGGAATGTAGAAAAATTGCTCTTCAAGATATGCAGCATTGGTCTCAGCTTATTACTCGGTTGGTATACATGTTCAACCGAGAGATTTGATGGCTGCGTGTTTCATACTGCTCATAATGCATTGCGACAAAAGAGTCGGTGCACGCATGGTCACATACTCAGTATAGACAACAAAACAAGTTGTAATTGTACACGGAGTAGACCTATACATATAGAGGGCGGATGGACATGCAACTAGCGCTTGGGCACCGGGGATCAAAGGATACGCAGAAGCAAAACGACGTAGGTATAGATAAGTAGGTAACAGGCAAAGCCAGGCAGTCACAGATCACGTCGTAACAAGACACCAGTAGACACGCGCCACGGGCAGAAGAAACCGGTCAAGGGTATAATGTGTGATGTACTGTCCCGGGTTATTCAAACATACAGAAGTCACGCCAACCAGTTCACGTACACAATGTCCAATCACCAGTCAACTTCAAAACCCGATGCTTACTCGCTTTCAATGAGCTGTCCCAGAACGAAGACCAAGTCCTCAACCATCGACACGGTCTCGCGCTGCTGCGCTGCAGTCTTGGCCTCCGTGATCCACCAGGATAGAGCGATGATCAAGATCGCTATGCTGTTCTCGCCGCCCTTGCATGTCGGTGCCCAGATATCCTCAGACGCGTCCTCAGACGTTTCTGTACTGCCGACACGAGAGAGTGGCCAGTCATATGCAACGCGACGTTATGATGGCATGGCAGCTGTATACCACTTCCTCATTGCGGCCCCAAAGGTATCGACGTCGAGCTTTGAAATCATTTTGAAGACCTTGTGGCGTTTTGTCCACCATGGAACTTGTGTTGGCCTGAACTTGGTGGTGAACCACTGCGACTGGTCCTGATCAAATGCAGGTCAGCCCGGTTCCAAGCAGTCAATGAAATGTCGTACATTCTTGTTTCAGAATCCATGGCCAACCTCAAAGCTCACCCAGCGGCGCAGAAGAAGCTGCCACTGCTCGTGCGCAGTCACCTTGCGCAGCGCAGTAAGACCCCTGACGGTGTAATCGTGTTCTATGTCGTCACCAACCATGGTACGAATATGGGCGACAATGTCCTCGAACCTCGCGTCCTCGTAGTTGAACTTTGCTGCCTCAGCAGGATGAGGAATGGCCAGGATGGACTTAGGAGCTATGGAATTGACCGGGGTCATGTCGGGAAGCGGATCGCGAGAGGGATCGGGCTTGCACGCTGAGCTCGACGCTCCGGCCAGGCAAGAACCATCAGTCGAACGACGGGCTTGAGACAAACGATGAACATCAGGCGAATGCTGAGCGTCCAGGGGGCCATTCACGTCGAGCGGGCGAAGACCATCGGCCGAACGACGGGCTTTAGACGGACGATGAGTGTCAGGCGAACACTGAGCGTCCAGCGGGCGAGGGCCGTCAAGCGAGCGAGGCGCGTCGGGCTCGAGCTCGGGCTCGGGCTCGGGGGAGCAAGGCGCGTCGGGCTCGGGCTCGGGAGAGCGAGGTGCGTCGGGCTCGGGCTCAGGAGAGCGAGGCGTGTCAGACAAGCGAGGGCCGTCGTGAGAGCGGGATTCCGTAGAAACATGTTGAGGGCGTGAATGAATGCGCTTGGGCTCCTTGCGGTCCTGGGTCACGTTCAACGGTGTCGGTGCAGTCGGTGCACGGTTCTTCCCGAGGCGAGGCCGATTGAACGAATCCATCTCTAGCACGTCCAATGCGACATGCACCTGAAGCGTACCGCGGCCTACGTTGTGCACACCGTCAAGCGCGGGCATCCAGTCCTCAGTATTGAAGTGATCGCCAAGGATTAAGCGCAGTTCATACTCGAGGAGTCGCATGTCGAAGCCGCCCTCGACCCACAGATGAACCAAGTCCCACGCGCAGTGTTCAGCCTTTTCAATGTCCTGAGAAGAGGAATGGGCATGAAGTGGAGGCGCCATGAATAAGTCGGCCAATGATCGCCCGCCACTTCGTTTGGACTCGGCAAGAGCCGACTGATGCAGGACATCCATTTCGAGAGCCAGCAGAGTATCGTGCGCGGTCGACTTGCTGCGTCCATCCTCGAGCAGAGCGTCGAATATGTAATCCCAAGCTGACATGAGTCGATTATCGCCAAGGTGCTTTGACAATTGGGATCCGAGAGCGACGAACGATAGGCCGTTGTCAACGCCGTCGTGAAGGATCTGCCACGCTGCAGGGTCTTTAAGAGTGGCAAGAGATCTGTCTTGTGCATCAGCATCATGAAGTTGATTGAGTATTCCAAATCAACTCACCGCGTTCTGAGATCACCAGATGCTCTGTCATGATCGCGCGCGAGCAATTTGTGGTTGGCCTCCCTGAAATCGCAATGTTAACAAATGTACACCGGAAATGGGATTTGGCACACCCTTCCCCATCACCCCGATGAACTGACTTTTGGTGGCAGTCGAGATCTAGAGCACTATGCGGATCCCTCCCTTCCTCTTCAGCAATGAATACAGCATCAAACACCGAGGCCCAGTCGCTGTACTGGTAGTGATCTCCGAGGGCAGCAGCCAGGGCGTTTTCGCACATTGGAAGAGTGAAGTCTTCATTGGTAGCCCAGTCATGCATGACTTGCCAAGCTGCGTCCATTTGTGCTTTGGTCGGCCCAGACCCACCGGGCTTCGCTCGCTCCGGTAGGTGAGTGTTGCACGTCCTAAATATCAGTGTTAAAGCAGTCCTACGCCATCGAGAACAAAGTAGATGAACGTGTAATCTGAACCAGCAGGCGAAGGCGACTTCAGTAAAGTCGCAACAGCGGCATGTGTACCACGCATCCTGCGCTGCTTCGTCGATCGGACCTGAGTCGTCCCGATCATACCTTGATTGCTTGAATGCTCGTCGGTGGACGACTGGCCACTCCTGGTGTCCATAGCATCGCGGTCAGATTCCTGATCGGCACGTTTCCTATAAGTATGTTCAGCGCGCTGAGATGGATCAGTGAGCCTCCTTTCAGCTCACTTCTTGCCTCTTAGGCGCTTCGACGAAAGGTGTGGCTTCTTGGAGCTGCTGTCAACGTGTGGTGCTTTCCGTTTTCTCCTATTTTCGAAAAAGTGATGAGAGCGTGTTTCACTTATTGAGACAGTACACACATTTCCAATTCGGACCGCGAGTTGGTGTGCTCCGAAGGACCCGTAAAGGCACGATGTTGAGTAAGCGCATTGCCTGAGGCAGATGAAGTAGGCAGTGCAGCGACATTCCGATGAGCACCCAGCAAGGTGCCTCCACCTTGGGCGGCAGCAGAAGTAGACGCAGCCGGCTCTGGGGATGATGCGGTGCTACAGGGCACGAGGTCAACTAGAGTACACGACATTGTCTCGCTTGAAGGCGCTCGCACCTTATCACTGTCTTTCCAGGGGCTACGCCACCGTCTCCTTCGCTGTCTTGCAAACCAGGCAGTTGATGCACGAGACCCAGGCCGAAGCGGGCAATGCGCTCCGAATCTAGGTACTGCGTAAGCGTTTTGAAAGTCGTTGAATCGTCATTATACACACTAAAGTATGCCTTGCAGTATTGTCCCCAGCGAGCCTCAAGCTGTTCAAAAAAGGTAGGGTCCCAGTCCTCGAAGCTGATATCAGTATCGGGGCCACCATACGCCCTAACAGCTGATATCAAGACGGGTGGTAGAAGCGGATATGACCTGGCATGTACGACACAACTTAGATCTCTCCGTTCGGGGATAGTCTCAGACCCCCAGAAATCATTAAGCACGGCCATCCAGATGACTTGCTGACGTGGGATGCTCCTCGGGTCAGGGTGTTTTGCATAACACGAGTCGCGCTGCAGGCACTGTGAGCGCAGGCGCATTACACGGATGAAACATGGAACATACAACTCCCTTTCAGCTATCTTCTCCTGCAAGATACGAGCAACCACTGCCTTGCGAACCGCCTCGGGGACTATTGCGACTTTGAGCGCGTAGAAGCATCATGACAGACGAAGTCAACTTACCCGTCTCAACCACCGGGCCTTGGCGCGACGCGCGCGTCACATTGTTACGTCTCGCGAGAACGTCGTGTACTGTCAGACAACGCGTCACCCCAGGCTCTCCAAGAACGCCATCCTCATCATCCGCCATAGCCCCATCGTCCTCCATAGCACTACCATCACGATGCTGTGTACCCCTCACCGTCTGCACTGTGGCTGTTACCGCAAGATCCTCCAAGCGGAGTTCCTGTAGACACTTCGTTTCCTCAACGAAGTCCCGAATCTCCACCGTCTCTCCTTTGTACAGCTCCTCGGCACGAGATTGAAGTACGCCATGTAAGGAAGAAGCTTCTTGCCCGGCTTGAGCTTCGGCTCTTCGCGAGTCTTGTAAGCTTGGTAGTCGAGCGCATCCTTGAGCTTAGCAGGGAATAGTTTGGAGTAATAGCGCCACGCCGGCTGCTTTGCATCGTATCTCTTCCATATGTCCAGCCCAGTGTCGTCTTCCGCGTGGCTTCGAGAAATCCTGTTAATACGCTGGTTATAGTTTCCGAACCATTCTTCAATCCTCTATAACGACATGAGTTTGAGCTGAAGTTCAAGTTGTGGACGCAGATGTACCTCAATGATGGGCTTCCACAATCCCGGCGGCCTGGCGCGACTCTTCTTCTTCGAAGCAGTAAGCTCAGGTGGGTTCTCCGCGAGCCACTCCAGGTACTCCTCCTTGCCTTCAAAGTCCTTGGGCCAGCACTCACGCCAGGTGCCTTCGATCTTCAAGTACATGCTGCGATGAGAACCTCTAAACTTCTGAGTCGCGTGGTAGTTGGGCACATTATCTTCGAGCAATATGAGCCGACCGCCCTTGAAACCGGCAAGATGCTGTCGGCGGGGGATGGTGACGTCCTCGTTGCCATAACCAGGAGGGCGGCCAGTCGGAACAACTTGCGCGGAGTCAGAGGTATCTTCGTCACTGTATTCGTGTAGACCACTGATGACTTCTTCTTTGCTGGGGCCTGGGAGTTGCATATTTGACAAGACGGTGTTATCGATGAACGCGAGTTAGTCAGAGGGGAGGCTAACAGCAGATAGTTCAGTTATCCAGGCGGAAGTAACTAAGTAGTCTTGAACTCGGAGCATCGGTGCGTAGCGCTGATTATCCCCACAGTAGGGTTTGCAGCGCCAACACACCGGGTACTGTACACGTCTCGGTACCTGCAAAGGACCGATGTTCCATGCACACGTCGGATTCTGTGGAGCTGAAACCAACAAGGCGCGCACTGCCGATTCGGCCACCACTTCTTGCCGACGGCCCATGCAGATTGACAGCACCTTCTGTGGTGGGACAAGGAGCAAGGGAAGTCCTCGATTAGTCGATCGGTCGTGTTGTGAATTTGATTGATGCTTGTTATATAGTTGTTTCAGGGCACGCTCCTCACACCCACTCTCCCCGATTCCTCCGTGTTACAGATCGGCTTCTTATTTTCATTTTCATTTTTCTTTTCATTTTCTTTCCATTTTCTCATGTTTTCCGCATTTTCTTCTTGTTTTGACCGCTTATGTCATACGATCAAGCTTCTTTTGATGGACTCTTAAGTAGTACGATTCGCATGTATCTTTACGATAGCTTGTCAATCTGTATACCTTTTCCAGACTTGCTCGCCGTTCTTACCCGCCTAGCGGCGGCCCCGAGGGGTCTCCTCGCGATGTCTAGGGCCGAACCCTGACAGTCGTCGTGCAAGCTCGACAAGAGTCCAGCAGTCTACCACAGTCATAGAAACCCAACTCCATGTAGAGGGAGATGGAAGATCAGAACAAGGATCGACCTGAAGAGGCAATGTTCAAATGTCAGCTAACATTGATCCGTATTTGCCTATCGTACTGACGACACCGTATCGGTACTGTGCGTTTATACAAAGTCAGCAAGGCCGTCCCGGGGTGAGAAATGGAGCGTTAAGATTGCCGCTTACGGGTGATGAATTGAAGACATCGCCGTCATACTATCTGCCGCCATCGTTGCCAGCATCGACACTTGAAGATAGTTTGGGTATCGAGTCTGACTCGTTGACCTTCTATCGACCTCAACATGAACACAACGTCTGTCCGAACGGATTCATACACATGATGAGAGAATGTCACGGATCGGCTTATTCATTTTCATTTTTCATTTCTTTTGATTTTTCATATGTTTTCTGGACTTGAACATGTTTTGATCGCTTACTTGATACAATCAAGCTTCTTTTGATCTTCCTTTAAGTAGCTTGTCTCGCATGTATCTTTAAACTAGCTTGTCAATCTCTATCATTTTCTGGACTTGCTCGTCGCTCTGGCCCGCCTAGCGGCGGCCCCGAGGGGTGCACCTACTTGTCTCAGGGCCGAACCCTGACATTTTGACAAGCTCATCTACCCTCGCTGCCGCCTTTTGAACGACCTTCTTGCTTTACTGAATTTATTCTCATTCTCTATCGACCCCGCCGCCTTCGTCCGCCCTCGCCGACCCTACCAACCGTCACGAACGGCCATGCCGTGTCCGCGACGAACGCGCCGTGACGCGAACGCGTTACGCGCGCCACCGCGACGCTGACTCAGCGAACGCGCGTCGACGACGAACGGCGCGCGCACCCGCCGTTCTCGACTCTCCTTGCTCTTGCCTTCACCCCTTCCTCGACCCGGTCGCCCGCTATCGGCGATGGACGCCCCGCCGCGTTCCCCGGCTGCCCGTACTCGACACGGCACGCCCTCGGACTTCTCCGACCGCCGCCGATAGGCGCGCTGCGCTCCCACGCGCCTCCCCGCACTCCCTCGACCCCGTCTCGCTCGCCCTTCGTCCCCCTGGCCTGACACGACCTCCCCGGACCCCCGCGCACGTAGGGAGATGCCCGCGCGAGTACCTCTCGCTGTGGGCATCCCGCGAACGCGATTTCCGGCGGCCGGGAGCTCGCCACGTCACCGCGCTTCGGCGTATCTCGGGGACGGCGCAATTTTCTTCGCCGCCCGCCCTTCTTTTTTCTCTCTCGAATCCGGCCGCGCCCGCTCACGCGCATCGACACCCCGCCGACTTCGCCCATTTCGACCTCCTCGCGCCGCTCAACCCCGCTCACGCCCCGTCCTCACCTATCGACCGAAGGCCACGCCACGAACACGCCGTTCGCTTCTCCGTTCCTTTTGATCCGCCTCGTTTTCGCCTCGTGTCCAGCCTCGACTCTCGCATCCCCGTCTCGACTCTGTCTCCTCGCCTCGATCCAGTCTCCGCGTCTCCGCTCGCACCGCCCAGAACCACCGCCATGAAGTTGGCATCACAGACACCGTGTCGCGCTTGTACGCGCGCACGGCCCCTCCAGAACCGTGTCGCGCTCGTTGGCGCGCACGGCCCCCTCAAGATTTTCCCCGAACCCGTTCCGTTCCGACACGACCTCCGATATCCCCGACGAATACGTGATGCGCGCGCGCGCCCCCGCCCCTCGAGCCCTCGATTTTCCCCCGACTCCGACACCCTCCTTCTCGACCTCCCGCCCCGAGCACAGGCCCTAGAACGTTCTTAGCAAGGAACACCCAGGCGCAGTGTTCCTTAGAGGGGGGATAATGTCACGGATCGGCTTATTCATTTTCATTTTTCATTTCTTTTGATTTTTCATATGTTTTCTGGACTTGAACATGTTTTGATCGCTTACTTGATACAATCAAGCTTCTTTTGATCTTCCTTTAAGTAGCTTGTCTCGCATGTATCTTTAAACTAGCTTGTCAATCTCTATCATTTTCTGGACTTGCTCGTCGCTCTGGCCCGCCTAGCGGCGGCCCCGAGGGGTGCACCTACTTGTCTCAGGGCCGAACCCTGACAGAGAAGTTCGTGTCATTGAGCTACCATGAAAGAGGATTACAAGCACTATTATCAGATACGACTGGGAGGCGGCATCTGGGACATTGCATGGTTCGAGTAGAGTGCCACTCATCGTCACAGACTGCATAGAAATGTGCCTGGGAAACATAGCAATGGTTTTCTATGTTCCGGCTCCTGTGTTCAATGCCTCATTCGGTCAAGGAGTTATTCGTGGCCAAGAAAGGCAGAGAATCCCTTCGTCCAGACGAGCGTTGACATCCTTGGACTAAGAAGTCATCTATTAGCTTCCCGTATACGCACGGATAAAGAGGGAGGACGGCGGCAAGTCAAAAAACGGCCCAAGATCTCCAGCCATGGCGCCCAGCCCGGGATCCACGACATGATCCCCTTCGGCGTATGCGTGTTTTGACATTTGCGACATACCTCTAAGCCCGCCGGTACTTCAATGCTGCGCTCAAAACAGCCATACTTGAACTCTTGAATAGTGTAATGCTCATTGCGGTGTTCTGCGTCAACAAGAGACGGCGGTGCTTGCCGGGTTTGGGACACGGTGAGCTGGCCTTCGCGCGAGACTTGGACATCTATGTCCGAGTTCTTCAACCCCGGGAGTTTGAATGCCGCGGTAACATACGGAGCCGAGGGCGGTGAATAGAGTTGCATTCTGGTAGGTATCAGCAGTGTATCTGCCTGTTGCTTGGTACACGGACCGAGGTTTACAGATGCAGAGTAGTTGGCCGCTAGCCACATCGCGCTCGTGCTGCCTTTTGGCAAAAGCATTTCTGAGGTAGTGCGAAGCAATAGTACGATCGAATCTTTGGAATATGCACTCCATCTCAGGGTATTCGTGAGAGGGGGCCAGGTCGAGTGTGAAGACGACCCCGTCTCGACGGGCGGCCACCTCGTCTTGGAAGCTCATTCTAGGTTTGGGCCGGTATTGCAGCAGCGCACCGAAGCAAGAAGTATGTGACAGACAGAGCTATTTATCTGAGGGAATCAAGCCCTGCGCCAGAGGGAGTCTCCGCCGAAATAGGGTCAATGTTCCTCGAACGACTTGCCGCCCAGATTGGGAACCAACATCGCGTCTGCTGTCAAGAGGATCAATCGAGTAAGATCATACGAGGGGCTTCGCTTGTCTCGGCAGCATGGTGCACAGAGTGACAGAGTTAAACACCGAGGGCGCAGATGGATGGACATATTTGACATTTGAAGATTGCGCTCCGTAAACGTGGTACTTGAATTACATCTGCGATTCTGTCTGGCAGGACCAAACAGAGACACTGCCTTATCGATTACCCTCTGCCATGAACCTGTGCACTCCTTGAAGTCTGGCCACGTTCACGAGGTGCCGCCAAGGAAGGTACACTGTAGATACAACAACAGACCTTGCCAGTCAGTGGCATGGAAAGCTACGCAGGTTGAGACGGACGACGCACTTATGTCACGACAGGCACTGCGTGGCGACAGTCTCTACATCGGCCTGAGATTGGGGTACATTGACCAATGACGAACTTGTATCGGGTTCCTATAAGGGGGACGTCAAGACGACTGCCAGACCGCATCGCGTCTATCGTGTGATAAGTCTCGGTGTTGATCAAAAGAGCGAAGAAGAACAGTGCTTATGAGTCTGTCCGCTTTGCTGAGATCATGGGCCCTTTGATGCGTTGCCATAGAGGCTGGTCCGCAGCCAGGTCTGCAACATAATTAGTAACCAAGGTCCCGTGCAAGCGGAGGTAAGGGACTCACAGTATCGGTAGCGGTCGGGTATCGGTTGCGACCAGCAATAACGGAGTGAGGGACGACGAGCATTGGAGTAGAATGTAGGCGGGCAATGTTCAGCGATAACATCTCCCACTTCTGCGCCTAGTGCTTGGCTGTTGGGCACCTCTCCATCAAGGCTCTACGCGACGAGTGCCAAAACACGCCCCGTGTACGGCGGAGCAGCCAAAAGCCTTGACTGAGCGCAATGCGGAGTCGTGGTGTTCACTGCTGTCACTCTTGATGAGTGATTGCATTGTGTCAGCACGTACATCTCGTTGTGGCGTCGACATAACGAACATACATGGTGTTACGAGTCATCCCTGACTCGTTGATTTATCCTTCTGCATGGGCTTGAAATTTGGCGCGGATCCAGCTCGTGAAAAAAGGAAATGGTCTCCCACGCATGCCGCCGACGCGACTTCTGTCTCTCCCGATCATGTTTGCGTTCAACTCCCCATCCCGTCTATGCACTTCGTTCTTTTGGATCATGCCCTGTCTCATTACATGGTGTGCTTACAATATGCCTACTGATAAATTCCGCGGGACATATGAACGTCATGGAGAGATAGTAGCATGGAGGAGAGGTTATGGCTGACTTTTGGTGTGCCCCCATCCCCATGCAATTGCCCGAGTGTCGTTTGCTGTCACCATCCATGTCTAATCAATCCTACAGGATATACTTTGTTCGAGAATATCATAACTGAGCATCCACTGCCAGCATGCCGTGCGCCTTTTCGTAAGTGCAAGCACTACATCGAAGGAGGTCACCACACGCCGTCTGTGAGTGTTCAGCTTTTACCCGACTGTATGGTCGCATGCCTGGAATGGGATCCGTAGCGCAGCAGCTTCCTGCAGTGGTCAAGTGCTCGCGGTGCAATATACTGGGACGCCGTGGGGGATGTGGCGTGGTGCTCGATAGTGTGGGATGTGTTCGACTGTTCCAGATTCACAGCGGTCGGCTATAGCTGGTGGGCTGATACTGGGTATGCGCATACCCTCGAACAACACGAGACGCTCTTCGCTGGACAGGCGCCGTCGAGATCATCTCTTGATTTCCTCCATATGCCCGATCTATCGTTGATGTAATCTATCCAGACGCCAGGAAGCTATCGCGGCGCTACAGGACATGGGATTGAGTTTGTGCATTCTTCACCTGAAAGGTCTAGATAGGGGATCTCAGAGTGTAAGTAGGATGTAAGAGTAGCCTCATGATTTCCGTTGCCTGAAGTATCTGACTTCAGTTGTAGGGTGACCTTCAAAGCTAGGATAGGGGCGAAGCGGATATAGGGGCGGTATACGCGAGGCGCAAGTTGTCAACTTTTGGGACGGATGTATACCGCGGTCGTGGAACACCCGATTCTGCACCCGGAGGAACAGCCCGCGCGCGGTATGGGTGGTGCAGCTATTATTCTGCCTCGTGTGATCTGTGGTCAAATCGAGGGTCGTTCCGTTCATACGTGTATAGATACACCGCCAAAACGCTTCTAGATGCAACGAGGGTCGGTCAGAGTACCTTGAATGAAGGCTGAGATCAGCCCGCATCAAGATAGCCGACAAGGGCTCCGCAGCGTAGGGTGGTTTCATTCGTGCAAGCTCCGGCGACCCAGCCGTACACGATGTTGCATCTCCGAGATCTCGGTGCGCTTGACGCCAGTCTGCGCTGAAGGCTCCTCTGGGTGTTGAGCCAAGGTGGCTTGCCCACCTTGTCCCACATCGCTCGGCTCATCCGGTCCGCGCTGCCCGCGTGCCCTGCCCGCGTCGGTGCGCAACGCTCGAACTGTTGTACCCGTTGTACATAGGTCCGGCGTGGTTACATACCTCTAGAATGCGTAGTAGATACTTCACGGACATGTAATAAGTAGATTCTGAGTGGTGTCCGATGTGTACAGTACAGCGGGGAGCACACGGCCGTGATCTGCAGGGAATATCAAGTCTGAGCTGTGGCGCGGCGATGCTGCGCGCGCAAAGGTGCAAAGCCGCGACTCGCGTACTTGCCTCTCGCCGTCATCTCAGCGCCGCGCTGCCCAGTACTATCGGCCCGGCTCTGTTGTACATTCACATGAAAGCATGGGCCTGAACCGTAGCCGTGAGTCTAATAGCAATGCTGCTCTCAGCTAGTACTCATATAGACAGACTTCCTCGGGCTTGATACAGGCGAGGCGACAATAACCTGTCAAGTGTGTCCCCGAACAGACGGACCGTGTAAATTGAGGCGCAATGTCGCTTCTGTACATGCTGCAGGGCCGATACACCAGCGCAACGCCCGTGAATGGGATATTCGCCATAGCACCACTCGCATTCATCTTGGCAACGACTTTGTTGAGGCTCCCATGGCAGCATCTTCTACCGTGCTTACACGAGAACCAGGAGGGCCCACGATTGAAGAAGTGTATGGAGCCCCATATTCAACCTTTTGTACTCTCGGCTGACGCTTGCTTGACCAGGGACGATGCTGATCTGATGCCTGTATCCCCTCCACCCGTGGTATCGAGCGATCCACCCATCAAACCCGCTTCCATTCCCCAGGACCACACCTTTCCCTTGACCGAGAATCCAGGTGTCTTCAGCGCTATGAGCGAAGCACTGTCCGAGTCTGGCAACGATCGAGAGCACGCTTTCAACGACCTGTGGCACGGTTTCAGCATCGGTGGCAACGAAGTCGTCGTGGATGTATCGACAAGTGATGATACCAGCAGTCTAGATGGGATCGGGGTTGGACTGATGGACGAGGAGCCTCTTCCCGGTGACGATGCCGATGAAGACGTATCGCTCGGGCTGACTGAATCTGCTCTGGATGCCGATGGTACGTGGGCTCTGCTTGTGACTTCGCAGATCACTCACCTGTCTCGAAGGACCGGCCGGCGTTGGTACCTATAAACACCATAGGCTACCAAGCCCAGAGTCTCCCTTGTACCCATACCCATCTCGAGCTGTGCGTGCACCTCGGCTACCACGCTTATAGGCTGCTTACACCCAGAGCAGCTTTTTCTCACTGCAACATTACTCAACTCGCCCCGACTGTGTTTCTCGAATGCTCAAAAGGATGCTATACTGCACTTCTGCCGTTGCATGGGTGGCAATGATGTTCCGACCTTGTCGGCGCTAGAGAAGTGTCAGAAGCTGATCGGGCAACTTATCGGCTCACCAACTCAACAAGCTATCGGCGGGCAGACGGGCTCGGTCTTCTACAAGAACAATCCTGCTGCCGCACTTGCTAAGGTATTTACATCGTTATGGTGCTATCACGAGTACTGATAACTCCCAGGACCATGCGAACCCGATAACACGCCACGCCATGATTGATCACCCCGTGGACCGCGGAGGCGCCATGTCGCAGACTCATGACGCAGACAAAATGCTCATGGAGGCGCCATCACAGCCTTCTGTGGATGTGGCTGGGACGATCTACTTCGTTGACGAGTTGCTCCGTCTTCGCAACGGGCGACTCTTCATCCCAGATAGATTTATCTACATGAATCCCTCTCCACAACCAGCAGATGCTGACCCGCGAACTTGGGAATTGTATGCGATTGGGAGAACGGCCGCTCAAACTGAGGTATATGTGGTGAACTGCATGGTCCTGATACCCGTTCTCATCATGTACAGCTTGGTGTCGCTGTTTCGGACTCGCAGACTTTTGTTAGCACTTCCGAGTTTGCGACAGGATATGAAGCTTTGAGAGACGAGCTGAGACCGATCTCCTTCGCCCGTGTGTTGCTTGAGGTTTCCCTTTTCGTGTGGCTCATTGCCCCGCAGCATCGTCGGTGTGTTATGGGAAACGAATGCCGAACGACCTGTGTCGCATCTCACGCGGCCGTGTCGTCCAACGTGTGCCCGTCATCTTGTTTGTCGATGATTGTTCTGCGAATATCACGACACAGTGGAACAAGAACCATGTTGTGTACATGTCAAATGCGTTGCTTCCTCGCGAAATGCTTGATAAAGAGTTCAATGTTCGCTTCGTTTCGTCCTCTCCATCTGCAACACCGGCCGAGCTCACCCGCGCCGTTAAGTCATCTCTCGAGTAAGTTCATACTATCTTCATACATACGCCACAGTGCTCACAGCCTCTATAGAGAGGCTGCTAAAGAGGGTATCTGCACCTACGATTGCAAGTATGCGAAGGAGGTAGTCCTCATACCATGTGTACACCTCATTGCGGGAGATAACCCCATGCTTGCTGAGCTTTTGAGCCATGGTGGTCTGCGCTGCAATAAGTTCTGTCGCACTTGTAAGGTCGGGGGAACCCAGAAGTACAAGCAATCGGAAGCCGGATACGCCAGTTTGTTCACTGTGAGCCAGATCCTGCTGCATGTCAATGGACTGAGTTGACAGTATAGTACAGCCTGCAGAAGATTGAACGCCAGAGGAGACGAAGGCAACGATTCTGGAACAGATCGGGTTTGCGCAACGCACAGGTGGTGGTGCATCTGTAGAGAGATCCATTAAGTCAACAGGTATTCACGATGCCGGCTCGAAGTCCCTCGTGAATATGCTAGTGTGCCTCGGAAAGGATTTGCTGCGCGCGAGTCGACCGGGAGATCCAGTTGCAGTCAATCCTGCAGAGGAGCAGACATTGCACACGCCTTTCGATATAGATCCTGTGGTCGGTGAGGAAAGTGGTCAGAGGGATGAGGAGGATGATCTTGCAGATGTCCCACTACCAGAGCTGCCGCCGAAGACCCATGCTGATATAGAGGAGCGCCTTCGGGCGGAAGTTGAGAAGCTCATTCTCGACGAAGAGATCAACCCACTTTTGGGCCTGAAAGGTCGGTACAGCTTGTTCACAAGGCAGTGCGACGCTCAGCAATGGTTTTCCAGGCTTCAACATCCACAAGGACACACCCACGGAGATCCTGCACACGATCCTGCTCGGTGTCGTCAAGTACTTCTGGGGCCAAACGATTTATCTGCTCAAGCACGCCACTGACTCTAATCTACTTCATACATTCCGAGCACGCCTTAATTCCCTGTCCACATATGGCCTCAATCTCACTACGAATCTCTCGTCTGACTACCTTTGTCAGTACAGTGGAGGGCTTATTGGCAAGCATATGAAGAGTCTCGCACAGGTCATGCCCTTCTTGGTGTGCAATCTGGTTGATGACAAGCTGCTCCATGCGTGGAATGTCATCGGACGGTTTGTGGTGCTTCTCTGGCACACAGCGATCAAAGATAAAGAGGCTTATCTGGTATGCTATGACAACTGTTTGGACAGAACACCTATTGACCCATCACAGGCTGATCTATCTAAAACCATTCACGACTTTCTCGATCTTACTGCACAGTGTGCGCCGTCTATCCTCATCTCCAAACCGAAGTTCCACTTCCTGGTTCACTTGCCGGCTTACATCCGCCGCTTCGGGCCTGCCATCTTATATTCAACGGAGCGCTACGAGTCCTTCAACCGCGTCTTTCGTCTCACTTGCATCTTCAGTAATCGGCAAGCTCCGAGCCGCGATACCTGCAAAACCTTCGCGGACTTCGATGCTTTCAAACACATCATCACTGGTGGATACTGGCGCAATCCTGATAAACCATCGACCTGGGTACGGGCAGGACCTGAAGTCCGGCAGTATTTCAAGGAGCATCCGAAGATGAAGTGCTTGTACAGTATTCCAACCACGGTCAAGGGTTCTGCGAGCGGTATACTTTAGTTATCTGTGTGCATAGGATGTCATTCTGACCCATGGGCATCAGGATCGATGACATCGCTACGAGATGACAAGGTCTCAAGGACGAAGTCACTGTCTGGGCTCAGTATCGTGGCCAGTACGACCGAGTGTCTCTCGATCCTTCGCGCCGTCCATTCGTACCAACATCAGAACACTACGTCGAACATCTCTCATGCGACAGGCTCTTCGCACCACCATGTACCTCATCCTGACTTTACAGCCCAACAAATGCGGACTCGATACCTGAAGGGTTCATCGATCGTCACCGAAAACGGTGATCGGGCAGTATTGAACGGTGCTGTTCTTGCACGAGTCAGGGCGCAAACAGTATGGATCTGGTCACAGCCCATGGTGGCATACGATCTAACCAATACTTTAGGGAAGCGAAGCAACAATCAAGGTCGCCCAAGTCTTAGAGGTGTTGGCGGCAACCGAAGAACCCAGCACAGCAACGTGTGTCGCCGTTCAACTCTACGAGTTCGCCTCGATGCTCCATCCCAAGCTCCATGTCCCTCGCCTGAGCCTCACAAATGAAAAACTTGTTGTCCACCCATCGGTGAGCAATCTACAACACGATGACGTTCTGGGACCCAACCACTTTTGCCCCTTCAGGACTTGATATGCACGGTCAATCTGCAGCATGACTGCGAGCGTTCAGGCTGCCAGAACGTGATTGAAGACCAGCGGGTTCAACAAGATCGCGTTCTCACAGCGCGTGTACGCCCGGTACTGGTACACAAGTCAACTTCATTTGTATTGCTCAACTGCCACACCCTGCACAATTATCGACACATTGACGACGTGGTCCCATCAGACCTGGGTCACTCGACTCCATACACATCTGACCATCGAAGCACTGTTCAGATCGCAGTACGGCAGATGGATACTGCAAAGCGCAAGAAGAAGGGCGATGATATAGAGACCACCCAGCCGTCGCTGTCTGGTATACAACCCGGCCCGTCGAGTGAGGGCAACGATGGTCCATCCCTGCCGACTGCAACTCCGGATCCAATATTTGGTGCGGGAGTGCAAGGTGCTGGCAATAAAGTTAGTACAAGAACACACTCGCTATATTTGATGTTACTGACATATGCTCACAGAAAAAACGCAAGCGTGCGATAAACGACAAGCTTGACGCGTTGGCACATGTCCGACCGATAACGTCGCATGCTGACTTGGAGGATCAGCTCAAGATCCCAGCAAGGCGAGAAGGACACTTGACAAGAGGCGCACTCGACGACCAGCTTGACTGGCACCGCCTTCAGGGACCTGCCAGCGCGAAAATTGTCCCAGAGGCCAGGTCGACACGGTGTAAGGACAGGGGTGCGCGCATCGAGATGCTTCGTGAAGTCATCACTGTGTACAGCCCGAATGCCTCTCAAGGGAGCCAGTGACATGGTTGTATTTTGCAAGCATGTAGCGAAATAGCTCCTTGCGTGTGGATGGTCCTGGCGAGAGCAAGGTGGAAGAGCGAGAGAGAGAGACGAAGACGACGGATGCGCGGGCGGCGTGTGTGTGCGCAATCACATGGCTCTTGCACGCTTGCGGCGCTCGTTCAATCTTCCTTCTGCCCACCATGTTGCGTTTTGCTGTCGCACATCTCAATACACGTATTCGACGGATATGTCTATCAGAGAGTGATGTTTCATAGGCTTGTAAATATAGGGAATACATGGTAAAGTATGCACAGGCTCCGGACTCCTTCTCAAACATCCTCCGGCTCACTGTCAGCAATCAACTCTGCGAATTTTGTGGGGATACCACGATGGTGTTTTGTTCCAAAGAACTCGCTGAGGTGCGCGATTAAATCCGCTCTGTATCCCACAATGTCGTTGTGGCGAACTTGTTCGCGGCGTGCTGCACTGTTGCGCGCATCTTGGATTGCTTCCCGATGGGCTGCCTTCTGCGACGGCGGGTCAAGCGATACTTGACGTGCCGACTCCTGCTCCACTGATATCGCCCTCTGCTCGAGATTTTGAGAATCCCTTGTCAGTGGAGACTCCGGCTGCGTTGGTGAACCCGGCATGATCTGCGAGTCTGCCTGAGTCGGCGAGCCTGCTAGTACCGCCTGCGACTCTGGCTGAGGAGGCGAACTCGGTTCAACCTGCAGCCCTGCCTGCATCGGCGAGTCTGCTCGAGGCTCGATGGTGCTTTTCTCAGCAGCCATATGCTTCCCAGATACTCTGTCCAACGTCTGGGTGGACTACAAGATCTGCTTGAGAACCAAGGCCGGTTGTCAGCGATGGTGAGAAGGTGCTCACGAGTAACGTTCCAGATGTGCTAGGGACACACTTGGTGGAGACCTCCGAGCCGCGCAAGATGACACACAGACAGACAGATGTCAAGCACAAGGGTGTGCAAGACGCAGACAGAAAGCAGAGGAGAGCGTCTACTGGCTAGATTGCAAGATGGACGAACTAAAGGAGCTAAGGTACATGGGGGGAGAGTCTTATATACAGGTCAGGGCAGTGCGGGAACGGGATGGTGAAGACAGACAAGCAAGTGGATGACTGAGCGAGCCGGGCCCCGCTGACAAGGGAACGGTGTGTAAGCGGGCCGAGTCATACGTGAACAGTGTGAGTCATGCGAGTCCGGAGCCCGTGTGCCGGGATGCCGAGATGCCGAG